TCTGCTGCTGACTTAGAAACCATTGGTTCCTTTTAAAATACATAAATGTCATCTGTACTGCTGACTTAGAAACTAGAGGTTGCTTTTGAAATACATATTTTTAATATTTCCTGTTAAAATATATCATGCCAACGTTCATGATGCTCTCTTGTGTATTTGAGGGTTGTCCTGTGCAGGGTCAGGACAGGAGTTGGACTTGGATGATCCTTGTGGGTCCCTTCAGACCGAGGAGATGTAATTCCAGGATACATCCTAGGATATAAAATTCTGTGATGATTTTATAGATGTATATGGTATTTATATTATCCAGGACAACCCAGATAATGCAGTTTTGCTCCCCCCCAGATGTGAAGCCCTCCAATATGTTGGTGAACACCCGGGGCCAGGTGAAGCTCTGTGACTTCGGGGTCAGCACGCAGGTAATTCCCCCTTTGGATCTCTCCCTTCCCAGTCCCCAAATCACCTGGCTCCAGACAGGCAGCCCCCCCCAGCTCCTCTCTGCTGGGACAGCCCTATTCATCTGGAATCTCTGGGCGACTTTTCCTTCATCTGAATATGATTGTTCATTGTTTAATGACAGTAAAAACTGCTGATATTGTAATTACTACTTACGAATGGCAAACTTCATTGATATGCAGCTTTGATCTGAAAGCTTTTTGGCCAGACAAAAGGGAGGGCAGAGCGAGGGCCGTGTCTGGGGAGCCCGACTGGCCCACAATAAAAATTAATATTGGGCCTAACAATGGCGGTGGGCTTTTACAATGTGCAGCACAAATTTTAATTAATTTCCATTTTGGGCCTCCCTGGAGAACTTCTCCGCTAGTGACCCATGAGCTTGCTGGGATGTTGATTTGAATTTCAGCACCTTTCCTCTCAGCCAAACACAGGGACCAAAGAGAAGGTCAGCCTTGTATTATGGGTTGTCAGGGGCTGTTGTCCCTCCAGCGTATTTAGTGCTCGTTGCATTCAAGTGATGAATTGTGGCTTTATTCACATCTTGAGCCAGCTGACTGAAAAATGAGTGTGCTCAATCCTACTTCAAATTGACTTTTTATATCAGACTAGTTTGGGGTACTAAAGCCATAAGCATCCTGTTTAACAGAATTGTTTAAGGTTATCTGCCATAAACTGTAATGCAGTGCTTGTTTAAATTGGAATCCTCGTTCCCAACCCAAGCGAGATTTAATCATTTTTAATGCCTTGGCAGATAAATTTGTTCCCTTTTACATAATTTTTCGTTGATTTATAGGAATGATGATTGTAGGTTAAATGAGGAATAATTGCCCATTTTATTTCCACATTATCTTTATATTGTTCTAACAGCCTGTTTTGTCTGATAGCTGGTGAATTCTATAGCCAAGACGTATGTTGGAACAAATGCTTACATGGCGGTAAGTGGATTTATGCAGGAATAACATTTAAATAGAAGTATTTGTTCTCTGGGTAAGGCAAGATATCTCCCAAATCAATCCTCCAGCTCCATCTCTCCCCATCCCTGTGTCCTCATTTCCTGTGACAGCTCCATCCTTTGCTGGTAAGGGAAGAGTAATCTTGGAGAAGGGTTTCTTTTCCGTGGATTTTTAGCTGCTTTTATTGCCTGGGAACAAAGAAAAGAGCCAGTTGGACGTTCAGAAAACAGCTTTCCACTCACAGCTCGTGGCTCTTTGAAGATCAGTGGCAATCCCAAGCTTATCCACATTTTGGGAATGCTACTCCAAGCCTGGAGTTCAGCCAAGCATTTAAACCTGTGCAGAGGTCTGGGTACCTGAACACCCCTGTGGGGGGAGTTTCCCATGGGAATGTGAAGCTAAAAACATTAGGACTGATAATATCAGGGCATTAAATTGCATGTTGTGGAATGTTCAGGCCACACAGAGCGAGTCATCAGTATTTTCACTTTCTATTCTAAATTTTGGTCGTAGTCCTTGTTAAGGGTTGAGGCCACTTTTGGTTTATTTCTGTCCATTAAAGCAGAAATTCCCACCATTTTTAGATCACAGGAGGACATTGCTGAAGGTACATCATTTGGGGGAAGGCAGAGGGTGAAAGATCTGGTTTTAAACTTACCAACTGGCCTGTGGTTCTCACATCAGGGAGGTGAACACAGGGACAAGAACCAGTGTGAAAGGAAACCACACAAATTAATGTGGATTTTCAGATCAATTTGATTAATTTTATTTCCCCACTTAAGATGTGAAAACTTCATTGCTTCAGTTTAAGTTGCCTTATTTTTAGCCATTGAAATTCCTTGAGCAAAACCACTAATGTCATAATATTAGTGATGGAAAAAAAATCAGTGTTCTACTTATTTAAAAAAAAAATTATAAACAGTAGGAAGTGGTTGGTGCTTGTGTTTTTCAAATCTCAGGAAAGAGGAGAGAGAAATCCGTGACCTTTAATCGCTTTCAGGTATTTTTTTCTGACTTTCTTGTAAGAAGAAAGCAGCACCAGGTGCCCATTTATTTGCTAAGTGCTTTTCTACTCAAGGTATACTCATTATGTGCCTTCTGAAACGCTCATGTCACCATCCTAGAAAGACTTGGGCTGTCCTGTGTCATCAGAACAATGGTTTAAAAAAGAAAAGGTATGAAAAAAGAACCAGAATACAAAGATTCAGACAAAGAAGCAGCTTCGAATTAATCAACTTTTCCAACTCAGCTGTTACTTTAGGCTGATCTTAAGCAGGTCTGAGAATTAAATTGTATTATGCTTTTAGTGTACAAACCAAGATTACAGTTCTCTTTCCCAGGTGTACATTAAATAAATTGCTTTTTTTGCCTTCTTGTTTATGGGTGAATGTGATGCATTCAGCTATTAATTGGAAGAGAGAAGTTAAAGCTAAAATGTAGTTGATCTGATTTTCTGTGGTTTTGCTTCTTGATTGAGTCATTTGGTGTCATCAGATTTCTGGTCAAGTCCTCCAAAAATAATGAAGGTCATCAGCTTTGGTTCACCTACTTGGCAGACTGTCAGTGAATTTGAAACTGTTAAAAAAGATGAGGTTTGGTTTGAAATAACCAGGGGAAAAAAACCCACCGACCTTCTTGATTGAGAAATTAAAATTTCCAACCAAAATATGTTTTCTGTAAAATCATTTTGTCACCACTTTATAGAGAAAAAAAAAGCTTGCATGAAAAAATAACTGGTTTTTAAGGGAAAATCCTTTGGGCTGTGTATCCTTAGGATGATCCCTGTGTTGCACCCTTTACTTTATGCATGTTATTCCTATTTTCCTCTTCTTTTCCAGACTCTTAAATTCATGAGACTGTACTTTTTGTTTAAATGTGCAGCTGATTTGCTTGCCCTTCTCATCTCTGAATCTGTAATTCCTCCAGAGAAGCTGCTGTTTAAAACTCGAGCTGTTATAAAGGAAGAATAAACAATTTAATATTGCTCAGTGTGAATTTTAAATCTGAGTTGGTGGCTCAGGAAAGGTCTAAAAAAATTCAGTGAGTGGCCCAGCTTAGTCCACACCGTGTCATAAAAGCAGATATATCTGCCTCTGTATGTTTTTTGGCTACAAAACTGTATCTTTATGAGGATATTTATCAGGACAAAAAGATGCTTAAAAATCTAATTCCTACGTGATGCCTGTTTTAAACATTTCTAAGCTATGCTGAACTGGGCTAATTTTACTTAAAAAATATAAGATTTTTTTTTTTTGTCACTTTTAAATGGGATTTGGTTAAAAGGCTGTTGTCCCAGTTGAATGCTGGGGTGTTTTTTGGGTTGTGGGAGGGTTTCCCCACAGGCAGCACCGTGGTTTTTACTTAACGTTCACGCCGCGATAAAAGCTCTTGACCTGGGATTAGCAGCTCGGAGTAAACATCCAAACCCACGTTGGACTGGCACTAATTTGGGAGTTTGTTTTCTAAAAAAAGGCCTCTGGATTATTAAAGACTAAAAATACAGGCAGTGCTTTGTAGGTGGTTGGGTTAGACAGGTGCATTAACAGCACAGTGGGGAGAGAAGTCTCCCAGAGCCTTTTATTGTTCCATTTCATGCTGTACTTGACCTTGGAAATGCTTAAATTGTAGCTTTCAAGTAAAAACCAGCAGTTATATTTTACAGCATTCTATTTCATGAGGCATTAAACCTGCTGTTAAGAGTTTGGAGCCAGGTCTTTTTTTTTTCTTCTTTTTTTTTTTCCTACAGGTCAAAAACGAAATTAAGAAGTGTATGAAATAACATTGCCCACATGTGACTTCTTTGGGCTTCAACAACTTGGCTTCTTAAACCAGAGAAGTTTCAAAAGTAGTTTAGTCAAGTTCCCCAAGCCCTTGACTGCACACAAGGAGGGTTTTCCTTGCTGTGGGGCCTGGGCTCTGGGATGGATGGACAAACCGTGGGATTCTCTCAGCTTGACCTTGCATTCCTTGGCTTTTTTTTCCTTGGATGAAACAACCCAAACACAAATGGCAAGGCTGCACTTTGCAAGGTGCAGAGCAGTGCACAAATAGAGTTTTTCCTGAAGAGTGGGTTTGCTCTCTGGGGGGCTTTTGGTAGTTTTTGGTGCCTACAACTTCAACACGAGTGGCAGCTCCGATCTCTGCTCTCTGGGAGCAGGGACAGGACCCAGGGAACGGCTGGAGCTGTGCCAGGGCTGGGTCAGGTTGGATCTCAGGACAAGGTTCTTCCCTCAGAGGGTGGTTGGCACTGCCCAGGCTCCCCAGGGCAGTGGGCACAGCCCCCAGAGCTCAAGAAGTGTTTGGACAACGCTCTCAGGGACAAGGTTGGGATGTCCTGTTGGACTCCATCATCCTTATGGGTCCTTTCCAACTCAGGGTATTCCATGATTCTGTGATTTATTTTTTTTTTTCCAGTGGATTTGCTTGCCCTGAGCTGGCTTTTGTGCAATGTTATGTTTGTTTACAAGGCTCAAGAAGATGTTTCCTTCCATCTCTTTGCAGCCTGAGCGGATTTCGGGGGAACAGTATGGAATCCACTCGGATGTTTGGAGCCTGGGCATTTCCTTCATGGAGGTAGGAAAAGATCTCATTGTCCCTTGCATGTCTTAAGAATCACATTAACATTCAAATATTTTGATGTAATCTTTGCCAATGCTTTGTATATTTATATGCCCTTAAATTTTGGCTGTATTTAGAATGGGTTTGTTCTTTTGAGCTCTTAAACCCTCCAATGAAACTCTTAAAAAAAAAAAAGAGCAGGAAGTAGGGCCTGATGCATAGATGCCTCTGCATCCTCTCAGCACCTCAGGGACTGAAAATGATGCTATTTCTGTGTTGCATCTTCACAGGCCAGGCCAGAGTGGGTGATTATTCGGGTTAAAAACGGCGTTTTTGCAGATTGGAATTTGGAGCTGGTTAATGGCCTTGCAAAACCTTGGCAGAAATATTTGCAGGATGGTTGGAGCCTCTACCCTGTGTGATTAAATAAAGTGTTTGGATTTAAGTGTCCACCAGGGCTTTTGGAGAGATTTCTCACAAGCAGAGCTTCCAGCAGGAGCAAAAAAAAAAAAAATCTATGAAAATGAAGCCGTTCAAAGGGAATGTGGCTGTAAATTGTGCTGTTTGGGGGTTGGAAAGAGATGATATTTCAGGTTCCTTCCAATCCAAAGCAGTCTGGGATTCTCAGTGCAGCCATCCAGGAGCAGGTGCAGGTTTGAGCAGAGCAAGGTCAGTTTTGATTCAGGAAAAAGGTGGGGTTTTTTTTAGCTTAAAGTGTCTTAAAACATAATTTTTTTATAAAAACAGATTATTGTTCATAGGAAAGATAATGTAGAGTGTGTAACTTGAGGAGAAAGGCCTGTGCTGTGATCATGTCTTGACCAGTAAAATCAGATCTGGTTGTAAACTGGGCTGGGAGAAGGGACTGGTAGCTCTGGTCTGGTGGTGACAGAAGGTCACGTAGCTCCTCCATCCTGGCTTTGACTGGCCACAAACCAGCTGGAAACCCTTGGAGCCCTGGGCAACAAGCCCTCAGAAGAGTTTTTCAGCTCAAGGGCAGTCCCATGAAGGAAATTCCCCCTTCTTGAAGCATTAAGAACATCCTTTAAGAACATTCCTTCAAACCATGGATGACTTGCACCATTTTTCTTGCACAGCCTGACAAAGGCATGTATGATTAAGCAGAAAATATGAGTGCCCTTCCCTTCTCTTCTGGAATAATACAATGTAATTGTCATTAAGGTGAAGCTGAATATACCTTTAGGTGAAGTACAATTAATTTTTTTTTTAGCAGGAGATGAGGTAGAAGTTAAATAAGATTAAGATTTCACATTTTGTAGCCCAAAAATTAACTATTGCTATGTTTTCAAGCACTAAATTCCTTGCCAAACCTCTTTTAACCAAAATGAAGGTGGTTAATGCTGAATCATTGCATTTAGGTGTTGTAAATCTTTCCCAGGGTCTGACTGGAGCCAACTCTGAGCTGCAGCAATGACACACTTTAACATGTCACAGGGGAGACAGGTCTCTTCATTTGTTTTACTGCAAATTTTAATGGTTTGTGATGCTGGAGAGCCCTCACTCATGGTTTTGGGAGAGAGACAGAACGTAGTCACACACTCTGTAAATTAATTTAGCCAAAAAAAGGGCTAAAATTGTGTTACATGAAGGCCTAAAAGTGTATGACGTGGAGACTTGATTGAGGTGTCCTTCCTCATTTGTGGGGATGTAAATATAGGACTTTATATATAAGCATTTCCTGGTTCCTTTGCTGGATAAAAGAATGCATTTTGATGTGCAGCAGCAATTCAGTGATCCACCATGGATCATTACATCCACCATGTAGACCAAGTTGTCTGGAGTTCAGCTCAGGGTTATTAGCAGATAGCCTGGCTGGGCATCGATTCCATTTGCAGGATGGATTTTTGCCATCATTAGGAAAACCCCTCTCATTTGCATTGGCTCTCCTGTTTTACACCTTCTCAACTTTTTATTTCCCTCTCACTTTCCATAAATGTCTTCTGCATCAGATGTCCAGAAACCAATTTGGGCCTGTTAATTGGTGTGTCATCTGCTCCTCCGAGCCCTCTCCCGGCAGGGTCGCTGCTGTCTGGAAGTGCTTTGAGTGATGTGTTAAATGATGAAAGCAAGGACAGAGGCTCAGAAAAATGTCTTCACAAAGGTGAAGAAGGTGCTCAAAGAGCCACCCAAGGTCACTGTCATTAAAGTAACACTGTATTGACAGGGGGATTGGCAGTGGAGCCACCCAGGCTCGTGTTGATGGAGCTGTTAAAAAGGGAAGCCGGTGTTTGCTGGGGGATTTAAAATCATCTCCACTTAGGAGGGTGATACTCAACCCCTACAACTCAGTGTTAGCACAGTGGTAGCATGTTAATGTAAAAGAAATGGCTTGTGGGATCAAGTTAGCCCAGATTACTCGTGCTGGAGTGTGAGCATATAAAATCAGCAGTAAATCTCATTTTCTTTAATATTCTTCTGAGCCTTTAAAGCGTCTCGAATTTCTTTGCTGCAAAGCTTTGTGTAATGGGAAATGCAGCTGTTGTTGTGAAGGTTAAGAAAACTGCCCCAAAAAACTTGTTAGGAGAGTGTGGAAAGTATTAAATGTGAGCCCTGCCTAAGCTTTGGGAGATGGGGAACATTCGTGTTCCCTTTGAAGTAAGAGGTGTCTGAGGGTGCCCAGTCCTCCCTTTATAAATAGAAAATAAAGTAAAATTAAATTAAAATAAAATAGGAGAAGAAATGCTGCTAACTTTATTATTATTATTGTCATTACATAATATATGAAATATATATAATATCATATATATTATATGATAATACATACAATATTATTATTATTATTATCTTTATTATCACTGCTTCTTCTTTTTGAGTTTGCATTTCTTCCTTAAGGATTTTTCTGAAGTGCCTGAAACTTAACACAGGCTCTGTAAAGCTGTTTAGAAGTGTTTCCCCACAAATAGTTTCTGTGTTTCCAGGAGGTTTTTCGATGTTTTTATTTAAGTGCTCTCGGCTTGACAAAGCAAGTTCAATTTAAACCAATGCCACTGCTGTCACTACACTGAACACTGTGTCAGCATTTTCATTTATAAAAGCTGTTTTTCAAGGGTTTATAACTCAGTCATAAACCACAGCCAGGCTGCCTGGGCTGAGGCTCAGTGTGTGTGTGTGTCCATAGCCCATTCCCTCTCTCCAAGAGCCGTGTCCTGCACAGGAGGATTAATTAAATTGCCCAATATTTCTTGTTCCTCTCCACTCTTGACTCTGATCCTGCCTTGTGTGGCTGCTCTCCACAAGTGAACTTTAAAACATCCAGGGGAGGATAAAATACACCTGGTTGGTTTTAATACCAGTATCAAGGCCAGGTTGGACTGGGCTTGGGGCAACCTGCCCGTGGCAGGGGGTGGGATGAGATGAGCTTTAAGGTTCCTACCAACCTAAACCATTCTGGAGTTCTTTGCCAGGGTTCATTTTATCCACAGACAGAACTGTGGATAAAATGCAGAAATGCAGGAAGTGAAAGCAATTTGCTTGTGCCCCAAAACTAAGTGAGTTTTGGAAGTAGAGTATGAGCTCACCTGCTTGGCTGATGGTGCCTTTTTGCTCCTCCTTTCTTGTCACATCCTGGGCTCTGCTTCCCACTCTCCTCTGCTGGGAAAAACAGCTGCTTCCCTGTTTTTCAGCCTCCTTTGGAAGTTAAATTTACTTGCAGAGGTTCTCACTGTTCTCTCCTTCAGGGGCAAGGAGTTTGTGCATCAGTTTTAACATCAGTTCATTATTAGTTCTTAAAACTCCCAACATGAGAATTTAAAGTCTTTGGTTACCGGGGCTCTTATTAACTGTGTATTTATTTGCAAGAGCTTTCAAGGGTTGTTAGAAATATTCTAAGCAGTCATAAGACAGATTTTCAGCATTCCCACACACCAGAACACCGGGATTTATCCCCCCAGACATCATTATTTCAGACACACACATCTTCTGAGGGTGGTTAACCCTGATTGCACCCACTGTCAGTGCTGTGGAGTCTCAGACTCTTCATCCCACTTGGGTTGGGAGCACAGAGGGAGCTGGAGAGTCACAGAATCACAGAATATGCCGAGCTGGAGGGGGCCCACAAGGACCATCGAGTCCAACAAAGGCAAGGAGGAGCAAGATATTTGAAGAGGGTGCTCCAGCAGAAGAAGCTCTGCTTGAAGATGATTCTCTAAAAGCACTTCAATCTTTAAGATGTTTAACTGCATAAAACTGCTGTCAAGACTTGTGTATCATCTGGTCAAGGAGGGGAGGCTTCAGATCTGTTTCTAAGGAGTCTAAAATACGTGATCAGTGGGATATTGTCGACTTTGAAGTGATGATGGCTCAAGGTCAAGATTGTGAGCTGATCTGAGGGAGGTTGTGCAGAGCACAGTTTGTCTTCTGCAGGATTTCACTCCTCTGTGGATGTTATGGTTGGTCTTTCCTCAGTTTTACCCCCTTACCTGAAGAATAGGTGTAGTTGTTGTTAGGGACAGGGTGTAGTGGTGGAACGGGCTGTGTTATGTTCAGGGTTGGACTTGATGCTCTCACAGGTCTTTTCCAACATAAAGAATTCTGTGATGGGGGTGGAGGGGAGAATCTGAAACCCAGAGCTTGGTGGCCTTTGCATGCTGGGCATGAGCTGGTTTATTTTGCTGATTTAAACTGGAGAGACTGGGCAAGGCCTTGCCAAGGTGGAGCTGCTGGTGCTGGCAGAGCCAGTGGGAACAGCTCATGGCATTTTTTGGTTTCATGAAGTTTGGCTGAGAGCAGAGTCATGCCTTGAGCTGCCTTGGGCCGTGGATCATCACAAAGGTGAGACTGCAAATACTGGACATGTTTCCTTTAGGATTAAGAAAAGCAAGGATATATAAAAAGTACTTTTTTCTTTTTTTTTTCTTTTTTTTTTTTTTTTGCCATGAGCCTCACCTCGTTGCTGTCAGGTTTTGAGGACTGCAGTGGTGTGATGTTTGTGACTTGGTGACTTCTTGGCTTCTCTGCTCAGCCCCGTAACGTGATTTGCTCTACAACTTAAATCC